GTATGCATGCAAGGAAGGAAGTCAGTGATATGTAAATTGAGGAGTGAGTGGTGAGAGACAGGCTGGGGGGGGGGGAGGGGGGGAGTGATGTCAGTGGCTTCGAGTTGGGTTCAGGATGCAGCTGGAATTGGAGCCAGAGTTGGATCCAGAGCTGCAGCAGCCACCTGCTCCTTGTCTAGTACTTGCATCTGAAATGAAGGGCTTTTTTCCTTATGTTGAATGAGAAAATAGACATGTCCTGGATTTGAGTAAATATGGTAAATAAAGAGGCAGGTTGCATTAAGGTTAAATGTATCATAGCAGAAGGACGAGGAGACACTTGCATTTTAAAAGCTAACTATCTTGACATTTCATTGTAAAAAAGAAATGCCTTAAATATAGAAAGAAAACAATTTCATAATGATGCTTAGAGATAATGCATTGTTAACGTTTATTGAATGTATCCAAAATTAAACTTCATGTGTACACATTCATTAGCTAGCTAGCTAGCCAGCTGCAATCAGAATGTGTACTAATGCAAGCACAAATTATGTTTGTTGATAAATTATAAAGGAACATGCGTTAGTTACAGGGTACTCCATTACGTTCTGAGCCTTAGGACTAGGGAAGGGTATCTACTAGGGCTGCGTGAAATACCAGCCTCCGCCAGCCCCATGGAGCATGGTGGGAAGTGGGTAAAGCCGGGGCTGTGCTCTGCCTTCCACTGCTGGGCTGAGCTCCTTGGGGCTGGTGGAGCTGATTGGAGCGCAGCGCAGCCCAGCTTTGGGAGGCAGGTAGAGCCAGAGCTGTGCTCTGATCGATTCTGCCAGCCCCATGGACACAGCCCAGTGGTGGGAGGTGGGGAGAGCCAGGGCTGCACTCCGCCTCCCATCGCTGGGCTGAGCTCCATGGGTTTACGGAGCTGCTTGGAGAGCAGCCCAGCGGCGGGAGGTGGGCAGAGCTGGGGCTGTGCTGCTCACTGAGCAGAGCTACATGGGGCTGTGGAGCCACTCAGAGCACAGACCTTGCCTCCCACCACCACGCTACTTCGAAACTCCAAACGTTTCAAAACTTTTGCAACGTTTAGAGTGCCCTCACTTCGTTTCAAAGCTGTTTTGATGCTTTTTGTTTCATTTTGATTTTGCTGTTTCAAGCTCAAAATGTGTCAAAACGGCTTTGAAACAGTACACTTGGTAAAATTTCGAACAGTTGTGGTATCTACCTCTCTGAATTTAATGGTATTACTCTAGTCCTGAAACTGGCCAGCTCCTGTCATTTTTTCAAGACTTCTACTAGTTTGTTTCAGGACTGCTATGGCAGCAAGCCTTATATATACAGCAGTCCTGAAACTGACTAGCTCCTGTCAATTTCAGGACTTGTGCTAAGCACCTGTCAGATGGGTGTTAGCCTTCACTCTTTCCCTGTGATGGACAGGAATAGAACAGTTGCAAAGTAAATAGTGGGTCCTGTAGTGCATTTACCCAATGTTTAAGTGCATAAACCACTTACCTGTATGTGGGTGATAATGTAAACTGTAATGAATTGTGTTTAACTGTACAGACAGTCAAAAAGCCTGAGGCTGAATCAATGCAGTCTTTGCAGGTAGTCTAAGCTGTGTAGATTGAACTGATAAGCAAGGGAGCAGATATTTACTTTTGATTCCACAAATGCAGCCCCATGCCTGAAGTGACCTAGTCCAGGAGCCGGGGGAGAGTGTGTGTGGGGGTGCTAAAGCATCCTCAGTTGGAGCAGACAGCTTGGGCCAAGGCTAGCCTGTCCACCAGGGGGAGGGGGAGGGAAGAAGGGGGTTGTGGGGGAGATGCAAAGCATCCTTTGATGGTAGGGGATTGAGTTAACTTGAATCTGGAGGGGATCTAAGACAGATGCAAATTGATTCAATAAACCAATTTCATATCAGTCAGTTAAGTCTGATATCCGTTCAGGTTTATCTTATACCTGTTTTCAGCCATTTTGAAAGTGTTTTATGTGCACTGAACATCTGCTGTGTTACAGATTTGAGCCAGTTTCTGATCACTTGCACAAAAACGATGATCATTTCTGTCCCTAGCCCTGATGTATGCATATAAGTGAAGTAGGTTGTGTTAGTGAAATAACTGAATTATGCTATTCATTCAAATCTTTGAGAAAAACCTAGCTTTTGTCGCTCAAAAACAATGCTGTTTTTGTTTAGAGTAAAGTTAAAAGTTGTGAAGTAAAAGTCTGAGAAATAAGAAAATGGCAAATGTAAGGCTGTCTGTATAATTTCTGCTGTGGTGTGTGGTATGAATGCATTGCAATAAAGTGTCTTTATTGCATGATTTTAAATTGCATTTTGTATAGGTTTTTTTGCTATTTCAGGGCATGTGGAAAATCAGATGTACTCTGGAGCACTGTCATTTGGACTGAAGGATTGAGAAATTTGATGGCAGGGGAGTGGTGGGACTGTTAATTGCTTCACCCCTACTGTCAAATTTCTAGACCTGTGTGGAGCCCACTGGTCAGATTATGTAGCTCTGTCTGCCAGATGATGCCAGCTGATCTGGGCGCATGGGGTGAGAAAGTAGAGTGCCACTGTGCTAAATGTAGCTTAGGAGAAAGGTAGCTTTGTGTGTGTGGGGGGGGGGGGGGAATTTAATGTGTATTTTTTATTTGTTGTTTTTTCATTTGTTTGGGTTTTTTTCCTGGGGCCCAAGCCTCAGTCATTGTAGACCATTACAAGAGACGGGACAGAATATGAAAGACCTATCTGTGTATGTCATGTTCAAAATTAGAAATTCTCACAACCTTTACTAAAACACTTTTGACAGCAGAGATGTGAATTACAGAAGTGAGACAGAGAGATGATCTTGGACAAGTCTCACATGGTACAGTCAATGGCAGATGGAAAAAAAAAACAAGATAAATTGGGTTTCAGCCCAGTGCCTTAATGAATACTCTTGCCCTTGTAGCAGACCTTTCTTCGTTTTCTGAATATGTAGAATGTCTGCAGTGAATGAAATGAAGATAGTTTGGTTATCAGAATTTGTTACTCAGGTTATATCATTCTCTTATCCTGCATAATAAAGAAAATGTGATAAATGTTCAGCAGGGATCCTGGTTTTCTCTATTTAAAAATCACATTCTATAAAAATATTGCAAATTCTGATTTAAAACCCCCAAATCCACAATTAAAATATGTCACTGTATATATAGGTATCAATTGAGCACAATGTTTTTTTGATGTATTAACAATATTAAATCAATTTGGAAGCCTACCAGTGCCTCAATCACTATAATATAAATTCTAAGTACCTATACATTTTGGTATTTGATTTTGGGTTTTTTATCATGGAAAATCAGAGCTCCCCCTCTGCTCACCAGGACGCAGGTCCAGGGCTCTC